ATGATAATAATAATAATAATGATAGCCTTGGGATAACAAATAAGAATAATAAAAATATTCAGAATAAGAAGAGTTAACCTTTGCTATATATTCTTACTATGAATGTAATTATTCATTCAGATATTTGTAGTAAAATGTGAACCTGTTGCTCTCAGCAGTCAGTCATTATTCTGAATATCGGCCTGATTTATTGGGGTTTTAATAAGGGCTTGTTGGCCTGCTGATGGCGCGCACCGCGGGCCTTTGTCCCCCCCCCATTGAAGGGAAATAGGTTAATAAACAGCGTAAAGATAATCTTATCTGAGTGTAGCCTCGGACAGAACAGTGACAGGGAAGATAAGCACATGTTGGTACAAACAGACGCTTGTTGCAGTCAGTCGATGTGCTCAGAGCCACCGAGGCGTTCAGCTGCTTCAGCACCAGCCCCACGGCCCCTGTGTCCCTCACACAGCCGACACAACCAGCATATACACCCACATCATTAATGTATGTGAGTAACATCAAAAATAAAAACACATGACCCCCTTATAATATTTATTATTATTTTCTAAGCAATCAGTGAAATTCACAAGTTGATCTGCTAGAATATAAAACATGTATTTACTGTCTCTGTCTCCATCTACAGTCTCTCACTTTAACACCCAGTGGGACGTCAAATGGAAGAAAAGGCACTGGGAGTCCTGTTCCAGCATGTGATTACATTTAAATTAGTCAGTGCTCAGGACAGCAACAGTAAAACCTGTATAATTTGTCCAGGATCGCCCTCTGGTGGCACACACTGAAACTGAGCTCAGTGGGGCTCCTCTGGGTGCTCCCCACCAAACACCCTCTGCTGCTGTGCTGTTCGATGTAGAAGCTGTGTGAAAATCATGTAGACCTTTGTGAAAACGTCTGCGATATGATGAATTCTCTCGAATTAATTTAGGAATTAATAGAAAATGTCTGAGTGGAGCCAGAGTTAAGTCAGGACCCGTGTGAGGCTTTAATCCCTCTGCTGACAGGCTGTCGTTTATTAAAACTGTTGCACCTCAGCTGGACCCTCAACAAGAATCAAAACTGTTTTACAAATGCAAAACAGGAAAAAGAGAAACACAGCTGAGAACTGTCAACTGAGCCAAAAAGGAAAGAAAACTGAACAAAAACCCACAGA